AAAACATCGACATATTTATCCATATATTTTGTGAGAAAATTTATATTCAAAATATACTTTCCCATTTCATTCATGCTCCTCACGTTCTTTCAGTACCCTAAAATGCTAGTTTTCACTAATCCTTTTTCGAAATATATTACAAATGGCCATTCTTTCCTTATAGTAATCTTTTACTATACGAACGCCATAGGCGAGTGATACGATCCAATAAAAACTTGAATTAGAAAAGAATATGAAAATATCTCGAAAACCGCGATGCCGTTGCAGCGTGGTATGCAAAAACACGTGGGAAGACGCCACTGTACTTTTAAAAGGCCTCGCATGACAAATTGTAAGTTAATCTCAGGTCAAGTTCATCGAGGTACGCTATGAAAAAGGTCTGTGGCAAGTTTATCCTTGCTTGATCCATGCACAAGGTTAAAGTAACAACCGTATTCTGTGACCGCTCATTAGTCGTAAAAGAAAACAGTGTAATTTTTGTAAACTCGTATCAGGTTTGATACTCCGCATCGATAGTCGAGGATGGAACTCTTCAGTGCTAATCTCGTTACAAAACGTTATGACATGTGACGTCTCTACGATGTCGTTCATAATATGCCCGTAAATCTCTTACATATTTGTCTTATCGAAACCAATCTGTTATATGTTATATGTTCAACGTGAAGAGCCCACTTGCACGATGCGTCTTTGATGCTTACATAATTTACAATTGAAGTTGTTTTAAGAAAATTGGTATTAGTAGCTTTATTTTGATTGTTGAGGGAAATTTTTGTTTTATGAGTTTAAAAAAAAAAAAAATTAAATAAATTTCTGCATCCACGTTACATTTATAGTTTCTACATCAAAAAATCCCATGTAAACATTTCAATTTTTTTTTTTTAACTTTATAACTTTAAAAAATTTTTTTTTCATTTTAAGTTATTACGTCATCGTTTAAAGTTATTTTTTATCACGTGTCAAAAGCATTTCATTTTCTCCTATGTAACGTATGGCTGAAAAATGCCGAACACATTGGTTATGAAATCCAAAAATGCACATTAATTCAGGTATGTTTAAATGATTTGCCCACAAATAGAGCGAAATGATCCTAAGTTAAAATCCCAATAAACTTTTTAAAATTGAAAAATGCAACAAGATACGTCTTGGATTATTTATTTCACTTTATGGTCATTACAGGTATATACTTGAGTAGCGGGTATCCACGATTCGACCAAGATCGAATATCAATTTTTCACTTTTTTGTTTTTTTATCAAATTCATAAGAAAGAAATAAGTTTTGATGATTATTGGTGCATGTTGAAAGTAGAATAGAAGAATCTCACAGATAGCAAAAAGATTTGTTTGATTTAATTTTTTTTTTTTTTTTTTTTTTTTTTGCGTTCAATAAACACATGCGAAGAGTCCCCTACTCTACTCCCCCATTAGCACCATAATTGATCATTAGATTCACATAACATATCCATTCACAGACATTCTTTTAATCCTTTTTTTTGTCTTTACAATGTTAAATTTAAAAAAATTTCTTTGCTTTAATTTCATATTTAAAAAAAAAGTAGAAGAAGAAAACAAAAACTCAAAATGTACGTTACACACTTTGAAAGTTTCGATTACTTAATGATGACAAATCATTTTACTGATATTGCTTTTATATGTTAACCGTTATCTGCAGTTTCTATATTCCCTGATATCGGTACCTCACTCACTATACGTTAGAGCGTTTATTTAATATTATACATTTGCATTAGTGTATGCGTATACATTTGTATTAGTATATATATATATATATATATATATATATATATATATGCTTCACAAAATATGAAAATATTCAAGTATTTTTGGTATACAAAATGCAGAGCAATATGTATATTTGTAAATATCGATGAAAAAGATTAAAGGGACAACAACAACAAAATCATGCATAACTCCCTGAAATAGATAAGACAACGGTCGCTTATAACTTGTCATTCACTAAGGGGGTTAATATACTTAAAACTATAAAGGTACACGAATAATAAGAGATCCTAATCACATATCTATGAAAATAGGTGATAGGATTAATACCACAACGGAATTATTGAAAATGAAATGTTTTACTCGCGCTTTTTTTTTTTTTCAATAAAGCGATCCTCTCCCGCAGTGTATTCTAAATTTTTAACACTAAGTGCTCGAAGGTATCTAAATTATCTCAATAGTAGTCCAGTAAATAAATCAACACAAGTAAAAACATTATAATCGGGCAAGGCCGACCATTAAATACTCTACGACACTTCGCTCAGCACAATTATTCGCTCATTTTGGTAGATAAACGACACCAAAAGCTACACATTATTTTCATTCAAAGACACATTTTCCTTGAAAGCCTGCATGTTAGAGGACAGCCGTCGTAAGGCCCAAATCGTCGAAATTTAGTAAACTTAATTTACCTCTCAAAAATTGCACTAATCTTCAATTTCCGCTATAGAAAAGTAGAAATTATACATTTTCTCCTTATAAATGCTTGCTTTTCATGATTGCGTTTAGATGTTAGGTTCTAAGAAATAAATGCATGTCGCCCGAATTCCCTAATGTTCATTTCTTTGATTAATTCACTACTATGGACCAAGTGTTATCATAAACGATGTGCAATTAAGGCTTCTTCTGCACGAATTACTATTTATGACAAACTTTATGTGAAGCGGGGCGCAAGAAAGAGATCACCATCAAACATTAGCAATTGGACCTTTTTGGCATAGGAGGGGTTACATTTCCTAACAATCCTTATATGCGGTGACGTCCAAAAGAAAACCTATGTGGCCCAAAGTCGGCAAGGTTGATTTCTTTGCCAATTTAGTATTATGAACGAAATTGCATTGCAAAGTATTGAAAATTAGACCTCGTCACCATATAAAGATTCCGTTTTCGTAAGAACGATTATATCATAGATGGTTTAAAAAATTGCCACAGCTGAGTCAAATTTTTCATACCAATTTAGAATGTCGGAATATTATTACGCAACGAGTTTTGTCGAAAAATTTCGAAAATTGCACTTTTTCCTTATGCAACTAGTTTTTAAAATATGAGAAGTGAAAAAGTGGACCAATCCGTGTCATTAACAGCGTTCGGATCAAAATATATCATTGTATCATAGTATCCCAAAAAGGGAGATAGTCAGACAGACAGGTTATAATAAAAAGTGGGTCTATCTTAAGCCCTTGTCCAAGGTACTTATGTCCGCACAAGCTCAATATACCCCGCATCACAAGTAATGTACGATATAAAAAAGAAAAAAATACAACGTAATGGTTGTGGCTATATTATAAGAAAATTCCGAAAACTGTTGGTGAGCTTCAGTTATCTCGCATTAGTCGCTCCCTTTGCGCTGTCATCATCAATTACATCAATCTGCGATTTGAGAGTTAAGTTGCTATCAGACCGAAACCAATATGTCTATATTGTCTTCGTACTTATGTGAACTTTGCAGATGCATTCACTCTTGGCCAATTTAAAATAACCACACGTTGAGCATAACTGTGGGCGAAAATAACTTGAAACCATCCTTCCAACTTCTTCCCCTTGCAGAAACTTTAAGGCACCCCCGCTTCTATTTAGCAACGTACGTAAAATATCTTTCAGACAAAGAACAAAAGTTAAATGCTTGGGATCCGCCTGAGTGGCCGAGCAGCTAAGAGTCTCGACTAGCAACTCAATGGTCGTGGTTTCAAATCTCAATAATATTAATAATAAATGCTTGGACATGCTTAATCGACAAAACACTTAGAAAAACAAAGCAAAAAAAATATTATATATATTGTCTACCGGTTCTTGCTTGCCAATCTTGATTTCTCTTAACACCCGCACTTGCGTTAGTTGCAAGTAAGTCTTTGGTGTTTTTACAAGTACTTGGAGTTTTTGCAAAGAAAAATACGGCAACAGTAACTTCAAAACCAAATATCAAGACACAAACTCAAAACTTCAAATAGGAAATGTGATCTCCTCTAAAATAGCAGATCGTTTGTGAAAGTTTTCTTAAAAACATTTACACGCTTCCTCTCTCATTCAAGGACGTTACAAAGATGTACACCAGCGAATTATTGATCAACTTGACTCGCCGTTTACACATCATAATATTCTAAAGACAGGAATATTTTTATAGCCACCAACGAAGGATTATTCATTTTGCCAAAACGTTTACAGCGCCCAGAAGGCAGCATCAGAAACCCCACAAAGGATATATATATGCTTGACCAGCATCAATTTCTAAATCGATCTAAGCATGTGCGTCTGCCTGTCTTTCTGTGCAATGTCTGTTGTAAACATTCTCCTGGCTGCAAAAATGAAGCTATCGAATTCAAATTTGACAAAAACTGATCCCTCCAGTTTTGTGTTTATAAACAGATGAATGAAAAAAAATGTGAACACATACTCTATGGACGATGTTGTAAAACCTTTACAAAAATCAAAAAAATTCGCCACGCCTACTCTATTAGCAAGTATTAAAATTCAATTTTTTTTTTCAATACCTTTGAAAAGGTCAGAAACAAACTTCAAAAACTCCACAAAGTATATAAATTCTTTCAAATATGGAATATACTTAAACATGTCCGTCTGTTTACATGTGTGTCTGTGCAACTGTGTTGTATATGTGGTAAACACTCCCTCGGTAGCGAAAATATCGCCGCCAAATTTAGAAAAGAACTTGGGAGGGAGGACTCGTCCTCAACATCCACTCGCCTATACGAAAACAACTATTATTTTGAAAATAGAAAAAACCAGTTGCGTCCACTCACTATTTTGGAGCAATTTTTTCCTGTTTTTGCCTTTTATCGTAATGGGTTTAAAAATGTAGCCGAATATAATTTTCTTAATTTTTTTTTTAATTAAGAAAACGAAGTAAAAATTAATAATCAATAAATCTCCTCTTAGAGAAATTTTTTTAAAACTTACATAAAATATTTCATTTTTATTTTTTTTAAGAATTAACCCACAACGTAAGATTACTTTTTCTAAATTTTTATAAATATTATAAATAAATATTATAAATATGGGCACTTTTCAAGTACCCAGTCGCCCACGGTTACATAGTTTGTAATTTGAAACAAAAAAAGAAAAGAATTTAATATTTTTTAATAGTTTTCCTAATTAAAGCCAACCGTTGCTTATGGGCTTCTGTGATGGCAGCACGCTTATAAGGTCTTAATTCGTCAGTACCAAAACCGGGAATCCACATATTCCATTTGCGTTCTAAATGTAACTGAACATCGCGTACCTCAACCTTGGGTGCCTTACGATGTTTAGCAAATGCACAAGTTGCCTTTACGGCATCCTCTACAAAATCATCAGCTATCTGTAGTAAAAGCTCTTCAACGTCTTCATCCAGCTGAGCAGAAACATCAACTTCGCGCACCAACTCCAATAAGCGAGGTTTTGTTAAAATCTGTAGACGAAAAAATAAAAGGAATTCTTTATGTTTACTTTCAAGTATTCTTTCTAACTGACTTACCGGCTGACTTTCAGCTGCTGTTGCAGGTTTACTAGTGGCGGAAGTGTTACTTGAACTTCCAGCCCCGTTATTGCTACTGTTACTGTTATTGTTATTACTTGCTAAAGTATTTGTTCCGCTATTCGATGAATTGCCGACATTTGAAGGCACAGAATTGGTATTAACATTCGCCATAGGACTGTTCTGTGATGGTGAAGCCATAATGTCTTCTGAATCGTCACCCCCAGCTCCGTTGCTGTCGAATTTATTAAAAATATCGCACATTTTTATGTTCAATATCTCAAACGGTACTCTTTCAATACAAAATAACCAAAATCGTCTTTTTAATCTCAAAAAATTTGTATATTCTTAGGAAATTAACACAGAACAAGAAGAAAAACAATGCCCGTAATAGCGCTTATAAAACAAAATAAAGAAATAAGGCCGTAATGAAACGCTGGACATACGGTTTTACCAGTTCCCAGTATAGTTAAAAGGAAAGTGTAAACATAGGACGAGAAAAGCGGTAATGGTGTTTACAAAAGGACCAGAGTTGTTGGAGTGTCTTGTGATTGAAAATAAGCTGTAAGATTCAATAGGTTTTCAATTAAAAAAAATAGAAATTTTAAATAAAAGAGATATTAAGCGTAATGGCTTATGCGGTTTATGTTTATATGTAAATAAGTGATTTAGTGCAGTGTATACAGAATCGTCGTATAACAATTTTAATAGATAAAATACACAATATTTACAATGGATTTTTAAAGATCCTTAACCTTCTGTAGATGATGTCCGTCCGAAAAAAAGATTGACAATTTAACAAAAATGCGGAGAACGCACTGAAATATATTCACTTTGTTAATAAATAATGTAAAGCGAAGTTACCAAACGGAAAACAAGCAGAAAATGAAACACTTAAAACACCCTGTAACTTCGCGCTCTTTGCGTATTGAAACATAAAATTATATCACCAAAAATTATTGCGCTTATTGCAAAGTAAAACGTAAAATCATTCAAAAATCTTGCTCTTATTAAATATAAACGAATCACGACTTGCAATGAGCAAAGAAATAGAAAGTAAGAAGAAAGAACAAATGTGTTGTTAATACATTTTGGTTTCGTTTATTCATACGTTATAGTATGTAAACTAAATAAAATATTTTAATAAATTGACTTCGTGTTTTAGAAGATAATAGTAAACAATCGCAAACCACGACGGAAACTAAGGCGAATATATAAGATATAGTGGTGACCATGTACGGCACAAAAAAAGTACGTACCGTTTGACTACAAAACAACCTAGTATGAGGCTAAACTATTTAGGAAGTAAATTCTGCAATATGCTCAAAACGTCTAAACAACTATAATTATATATAATTAGTAAAAAACGTACAGAATCCTCTGAACGCCTTCGCCTGTAAAATTTGAAGTAAAATGTAAATGTAATCAATTTACGGCAGCTTTATTTTAGTGAGGCTACTAACTATCCAAAACTAACCCATCCAATCTAGCTCATCCGCTTTTTCCCTATTAGACGGACGTTTTCAACGGTGTTGGTCTTACATATCCCAACTTCTTAAGCTACCTAAACACTCCCTCAAGAAAAACACGCCTGTAATATTCATGCATTTTGAGCCCAACCGAAAATTCTTACATAGTAGTAGGTATGAAACCCTGGAAGAAAATAAACATTTGACTTATAAAGTGAAATTAAACAAATTTTTTTATATTGTATCTTTTGATGCCATTCTTATAATCTTCTGGGTAGTTGAAAAATTTTTTTATCGTCTTTTATCGGTGTTAGTGAAAAAAAGTGAATTTAGGATGAAGGAAAAATTAAAAAAAAAAAGTTTGAAAAAGAAAACCAAATTTTTAAAAATTTAAAAGAAAAAATTCAATATGGCCGTTAAAAGGAAATTCAAACCTTCCCCCATTACACCCCCAAACCTTATCTCAACTCGCCCCACAAAGATCTCAGCGGCCAATAGTTTCGAACAACAATATGCGTTCTTCTGAAGTCGATAGATTAATCTGCGATTAAAGAATATCTCGGTCCCTATCCCGATCCCTATGAATCTTATCAAGTATTTTGAAGAAAAAATGTCTAATTGCGCTAATACTCAATACGATCAAGCGTACAATAACACGAGTAATTCCGCTGGAGCTCCGTTTCTATTTAAAGCATGATTTCGTTTTTACAATATAAGACGTAACTTATCCCTTTTGGATTTTTACTTGAACTCGAATAATATTGATTTCTGCATCTTAAGTGAAGCATTTCCGAGAGATGATATTTTTTTTGAAGTCAAAGGTTGCAATTATACTTCAGACACCAAATGCCGAGATAAAATTTATCGTTTTGTTAGTATTCTAGTTAAAAAGGACGTCCATTTCAGACATATCCCCCACAATTCTGCTGGTTACATTGTCATCATCAAAACCAAAGAATCTTAAACTGAATCTTTTCATAGCATCATGCTGCTTTCCACCCCGTCTTAATGTACAAACTTTTTGTGATGGCCAAGGAGTTAATTAAAGTCAACATAATGAATCCTTCCTTTTTTCAGGAAGTTATCTCTCAGTGATGCTGTCCGTTACAGCTACACATTTTGTTACGAACAACTGCGCTATGTTTTTGACAAGATAAATTCAATTCCTCTCTAAAATTTTTATGTATACCACTGAAGGTTCCGTCGGACATAATGTATCTAGCTTTTTGGTAGTGAAGCATCTATCTAAAATAGTAGATAAAGTCAAAGTGGCCGAGGAAGTTTCCTCGACTTTTATTGAATTGCTTGCCATCAGACATGCTATTAAGGTGGCGATTACTGATGGTATCAAAAGAATTGTTATTTTTTCGGATAGGAAGTCAGCTCTACTTCTACTAAATAAAAGAGATGCAGAGAATCATTATGAGTTTGATAAACACAGGATGTTATCTGAAACTCAAATGGATAACTGGTACCTTGTTTGGATACCTGCTCACTGCCGCTTTTTTTTTTTTTTAAATGAAAAAGCCAGCTTTCAACCAAAGAGGGCCCAAGTTGATGGGACAATCTTGTCCACCAATCTTGTACTCGCAATGAAGCAACACGGGCAATTCGCAACTACATCTTTCAACAAGTAAATGATGAATTTAAAAAGATTGCGCATGTTAAATCCAATCGCCTTTTCCAAAATATATATCCCACTTTTCAGTTTCAGCCTTTACCAAAGGTTTCCTTTAATTCCTGGAAAATTAAAATTCTTTATAGACTCAGGAGTGGTCACAAATATAATAAAGTATAGTTATTATTATTATTATTATTTTAATTTTAGACTAATGAATTGAATTCTTAGACTAAAAAAAAGACATTGAGCACTAGCAACACAGGCTATCGGCTCAAAAGAATAGTTAAAAATGATTCATGCTACACCATGTGATATTTGTGAAGTTTGCAATATTATCGAGTCTGTTGAGCATTTAATTTTCATGTGTCACAGACTTGGTAGTATTAGAGGTTGTTTTACCTTCTTTAAGTTATATGATGGTCTCCTCGATCTATTTGTAGCAAAAAATGTGGGAAACTAACTTGCTTTATTAGAAAAGCGAATTTATGGCTTTAAATTATTTTTTGCATTCAATCATTTTCTATTGCGATAAAATTCCTTTTAATTCTTACCAATAATTACGACTGTTCATTATCTGGTCATATAAGCCACAAATTTATTGGGTTCGCCATCTTAACTCAATATCCCAAAAAAAAAAGAAAAAACAAATTTCAAAAATGCAATTGAACACTTCAAAAACTTTATATCCTTATAAAATAATTTATTACTCTCTATTTTTTATTTTAGGGGCATTTTCATCATTAAAAAAGAAGGTGATTCAGGCAAAACGATAAAAAGCACTAATGAAACGGAGGGGAGAACTGGGAATAAAATTCCGAGTACAGCTGCCATTTAAAAAGTGTTTACTGGAACGGACGACATACATAGCAAGCATAAAACATTGCGATTAGAATCTTTTTTTATATAAGGTATATGCTATTGGAATGCCAATATTGATCAGAAAGACTAATATGTTCCAATTGCTGATTTTCGGCAAGGAATACATTTGTCAATGTTCGAAAGAATATTTTACCCAGCACATCGGAAGGTTGACCCTATACAAGAAAGCGTTTTGCGTGATCGTTACTTGTGTTATTAAAAGAAAACCCACATTTTCGTGTGATTATCGCTTCTATATTTGGATCAAGAACAAATTGATCCGGTAAACATATTCAATACTTTGAAGTACAAATACACCGTTGCAAAATGTATTTTAATGGAATTTTCGATTATGCTCTCAGAAATAATAAATACAAACATTTATTATAATCCATGCATGATTGATGTCGCAATCTCTACCCACATCGCAAACTTCGATAGAACCTTTTTTGGTTAGAACACGGCAATTCGCCACCATCGATAGCCAAATGCACAATAGAATGAATTTCCTTAAAAAAAAAAATCAAAATAACTTCGCAGGAAGTGCAGTTGAACGAGGAACATTTACCGAAAATGCTTTTAAAAAGCTCATATACGAAATATTAATTTTTAAAATATTGTCGTTGAATTTGGCTTCTTTCGGAATTTGCCCACAAGTGTGATTATTCTTTAAAATGTGCACCAAACCAACTTTTGATAGCGAAAATAAAGAAAAAATATAAGTTTGCTTTTCAATTTTGTGAAGAATGTTTAGTTTGAAACTTTTTTATTGGATTTGCCGAGATTCCATTTCTCAGAGTAAAATTTACTTTGCGTTATGTTTCTTGTGGATACCGGGGAGTGACTTTTGGCTTCATTGAGAATAAAATTCTATTTCTCAGAGTAAAATTTACTTTGTTGCGCATTTTCAATTACAGCGGTTTTTTCTTACAAATGTAACTCTGACCGATCAGTACTAACGCGAAACATGAGTTAATTTGCTTTCGCCTGACATGATAGATAAGAAGAAGATTATATTGCACCTATCGTGAATACGAAAAAGAAAATTTAAAAGTAAAGCTTAGCCGAATATTCCTTTTACAGAACGAGCAAATGTCCACAACTTAATGGTAATCTTAGCTCAAAACCACATTGTAATGCAAGAATTTTCTATAATACGCAACTTTATTCTCAACGAAAATATCACGTTTGTTCTACAATGGTAATATATTCCCACTTATAAGAATATTTCATCAGATAAGCCAATTTAAATTACATTGACATAAGCACTTCCAATAATTGGCAGGGCGACATAGCATTGATAAATGTACAATATGCAACTTCTAACACCTTGATTGTAAATTTTCATTTTTATTAACTGCTTTTCATTCAAAATATTAGCAGAATGGAATACGAGTACAGAAACGCTTACAAAAGGGTAACACTTCCTTCGGCAAAGTTTGCATTCGAAAATGGTAATACTATAATAAAATTTTTTCAAGTGCAAAAGGTGAAACTATAAAGAAGTTACATTTAAAAGTTAGATTATAATTTGAAGAGATACCCCTTACGAGAAGGTTTGAAATGAAGTAGCAAATTTAATTTTATATATTATATAGGACAAGGCTTACATACAAAAATTTTGTATTTTGTTAAAAAACAACTTTTGTTAACTAATTTACATTATAAAGGGTAAAAATCGAAGTCAACGCAACTCTACAAATTTTGAAAGAAATGAACATACCGTATGAATAATCAGCTGACAATGTAAATAATTTAAACTGTAAATCTTATTTATGTATAGAACTTCTTTATAATTTTCAATAACATTTAGTTAATTAATCTCATATAGAATATGGCATAATATAAGTGAAGAGCCCAGGAGCCCATATATGGGTAATGCTATGCTATTTTCTAATATAATAAAATGTATTTATGCGTCCGTCGGTTGGCATCCGTTCCGTAGTGTGTTTATTATGCTTCGTTACAATTGTGTTTAAAAGAGTCGCTTTTCGTAAGAAAAAAGACCATGTACGTTGCCCTCTACTTGGGCGGAATGTGTACGTTTCATAAAACGAAGCTTCCCATTATAAATCGATGCTCTAGAAAAATGGTCATTTTATTTTTAGAATTATGTGATGATTTTCATAAGGAACTCACCTTAGTGCACTAACAGATGGTACACCTATGTCCTGCAAGCTGTGCTGCAATCCCACCTCGAGGTAAGGTAGATACCGTAGAATGGAACCTTTATCTACGATGCACCCACTAACGCCTTGTGCTATTTTTAATTTGTCTATATCATTGTGATAATAACGAGACATTGCGGCACCTTTGCCATCATGTCTTTCCATAGCTTCTACAGAGCCCATGCCCCGGTATTTCTTTAACCGAACTCCGTCAGAAAAGAAATACTCACCAGGTGCCTCAGAGGTTCCTGCTAAAAGTGAACCCATCATAACGGCGCTAGCACCTAAAGACAAAGCCTTAACAATATGACCTATAGATTGGATTCCACCATCAGCAATGACGGGTACCCCGAATTTTCTGGCAAATCTAGATACCTGATAAACAGCAGTGGCCTGAGGACAGCCACACGCCATTACTTCTTGCGTTATGCAAATGGAACCCGAGCCCATTCCAACTCGCAAACCATCTGCACCAGCATCAATGAGGTTTTTGGCTTGTGCACGTGTTACCACTACAAATCCAATAAATTATATCAAAATTTCCAAAATATTTTAACGCAAAAGACAAACATACCGTTTCCTGCTATTATCTGCAAATCTTGATAAGTGTTTTTAATGTATTTGATCATTTCAATTTGGTAAACAGAGTTGCCTTGTGAAGAATCTAATACAATTACGTCAACTCCGCTGGCTACTAATAATTCCAAACGGTCTTTGTCGTCCGGGCGGGTTCCGATAGCTGCGCCAACTAATAACTGCTTGTTACTGTCTTTTGAAGCACTAGGATACGAACGAGCCTTCTTCAAATCCGTGCGCGCAATGAGAGCCACTAATTCGCCATCTTGATTAATGATAGGTAACTTGCCTTTTTTACTATTTTCTAAAATTTCATTAGCTTTCAAAAGATTAATGTCATTTGAAGCAGTGATAAGATCTGTGGTCATTATAGCGCTCAATTTTGTGTCTGTCTGATTTTCGCGAAAATCTATATCCCGCGAGGTAACAATGCCCAATAGTTTTCCTCCCAATTTGCCATTATCGGTGATGGGGTATCCGGTGAAACCGTTTTTGCGTCTTGCTTCCAGCACATCACCAAGAGTATTTTCCGGTGACATTACAAAAGGATCACGTATAAACCCGTGCTTGTACTTCTTAACTTTTTGTACTTCATTGGCCTGATATTCCGGTGTACAATTATGATGCAAAATGCCAATACCGCCACATAACTAAAAACGCATAATGCATGTATACGTAGAAATAAAGTAAGCAAAGGTAAATAAGGAAATTATCTTTCTTTTACGGCCTGTCTTATATAAAGACTGGTTAATATAAACCGCTTATAACCTATGAGGCGCGGGCCTGTAAATTGGTTGATAGAAACCATTTTTTATTGGCTTTTTAGTTGTTTACATTAGACTCCTGATCAATATTTCTTACAATTTCCTAGTCACACTTCACATGTTGTGCAAACGAGTCGTGTCTATATTTTGTCGTTTGTTTCCTTCTCGTTCTTTTTGGAAAAGACATACTAATCCCTATAACAACAGGAACGGACGAACGGACAAAATTAAATTTGCGAGTTTACTGTTCCTAATTTATATAGTGCGGCGCCAAATCTAATAAAGTGCGTTTGTAGATGTTATGTATAAAGAAAAATTTCTTTTTAGCTCTAGATACTTACAGCCATGGCTATAGCCATATCGGATTCAGTTACAGTATCCATTGGAGATGATACCAAGGGAGCTTTTAAATGAATCTGCTTTGTTAACGGTGAAGTAAGATCAACCTCATCGGCAGCAAAATTTATATAGCCCGGCAATACTAGAAAATCGCTGAAGAAAAAATGGCAAATTAATTCTAGTTTCCATGCTAATGATATACAAACTCACTTATATGTCAGACCGTCCGTATTGGCGAACAATTCATCACAAGACAAACCGTCTCGTAGGTTATCTTCTTCAGTAAGAGTACTTTCAAATCCATTTCTGTCCGCTGTTGAATATGACATATTGGCTTTTAGGGTTTCAATTATATTTTACAGGAAAACGAAAACTTTGGCACATGAAATTCCTAGAACGTAGAATCGTTAGTAAATATTTAATTTTTAACAAATATACGATTTACATACACCAGCATGCACATACACCTTAGTCAATGGAGCGAAAATGTACTACGCACCTACAATTCTGTTTTGCTTTTATTGTAATTTAATAAATATTGGCTGTTTAATAATAACCGTTAGAAAAAACATCAAAGTAACATCAGAAATATTTGTCAGATATAAAAGATAAGTCAGAAGCACGTTTTTTTACTAAGCCAAAACACCTTTGGAGAAACGAGCGAGAAAAAAAAGCACTGAAGCACTAAAGCAACTGAAAAAATCAAGAAAATGTTTAGATTTATATTCAAAATTCTCTCCATTTCTTTCTCTCGCAAAAGAAAATTACAATAACAACACTAATAATAATTTAAAGAAACTCTCCCAGAGCAAACAAAATTTTACAATAACAAAGCTAGCAATACCTCAATAGTGCCAAGTAGTCAAAGAAATTTCTGAGAGCAAAAGAAATTTTTACATCAACTGAGCGAAAGCTTATTTTATACAATAGAATAAACTTCGAAGCCCAACGGCCCTTTTGACGTTTGCGAAACAAGTAAACAAAGAACATCCGACTTTGACAATCAGTAAATTAATCAGATGTTTTTCCTTTTTCTATATTTCCAAGTATTTTAAAAAAAAAAAAATTTTTACAATTAAAAAAAATAAGTATGTATATATGTATATATTAATCCCATCCGCCTGAGTGGCCGAGTAGGCAAGAGTCTCGACTAGTAACTCAATAGTCGTGGGTTCAAACCTCAAGTGCGGTAGAATTTTTAATAAAAAGCCGATAGCCCTAGATGCTAGTGCTTTAAGACTTTAGTCTTAGAATTTATTCTCTGGCTAAATTTATAATAATAATAATAATAATAATATATTAATCCATTTCTTTGAATTGATAGCCCTGCAAAAAAAGGAAAACGTTAGCAAAAATATTTAAATATTTTCTATGTGACTATTGATAGATGTTTCAAAACGTTTTTCGGCGCTCAGGATATGAGATATTCTAAAACTATGTAGTATTTATAGAAAAATTATCGGAACGAAGACAGAACCGAATTTTTGTTTGTATCCTGAAGTCGATTAAGCAAGTCTGGCCCTCCCGTATATGCAGCTTCGTATAAAAGGATTGAATCTCCGTAGTGTATTAGCAAACATATTCCATAAAGGGGCTCGACAATTTTTTAGTGTCAAGGACATACTGGGTGTTGGAATATTTAGTTTTTGCTTATTTGAAGAACGCTCGAAAATTTTATAGGTATACATACAGCAATGCCGACGTAGAATAAATGTTTTGCTAGAATGACACAATTTTTGCACCAAACCATTGCAGCTTTTTTAACATCATGATACACATGGTCTTTCCACGTAAACAGTCTTTAAGTACGTACTTAGATTTATTGGCCAAAGTCCCGAATCCAATATCCTTATTATCCGGACCTAGCTCGAGTAGGGACAAAAACTATCGCTTGCTTGCCTATGTAAATGGGTATTTTGCCTTTTTGAAACCTTCGTAGCCTTCTTCTTGAGGGATCTTTTCACCGACGTAAATATCTCTTCGCATCTTAGTACGATTCCGAAATTGAATTATATTTGTTGCCAAAGTTTTGCATATTTGCAATGGTTTAGGGGTTGACTTCAAACTCTAACTTGCGGGTGTGCGTCTGTGCCTTTTTTATACTCGCCAAAGGATGCACGGTACGCTCCATTTGCTTTAGCATATGCAACATTCAAAAGAAAATTTTAAAAACTCTATAAAATAGACATATTTTTGATCGACGTGAATTTGTGCGACAATTAATCCACGTCTGTCCGCCTATGGATATATCTACTTCAATTTTGGTAGAAACGTTGAAAGTTTCTGCACGCATGTTGATACGGGAAAAATTGGTCAGAGCACGCGATCGCAGCAAAGAATAAAGTGAACACAACTTTGTTCCTCGGTTTTTGGGTTTTTGCTCATTGCTCACAAATTATGAAAGATAGAAGGCTAAAATCTTCTACACTTAGTTTACGAAAAATTCTAGTATGTATGAGCGAATTGGAGGAAACCGGCCATGCCCACAGAAAGTTATTGGTGATTAAATTGTTCTTTTTTCACTTTCTTGATGTTTTATAAGCTAAACAAGACAAAATGCCTAAAATTATTTTGTACATTCTTGAAATGAAGATATATATCAGCAATAATGCGTTAATTCTAAAATAAATTAATTTTCCTTAACAATGTCTTTTAGGGAACTAAGAGGTGAAAGATGTATTTTATTCCATTTACTTTTTAATGACCGTAAATAAAAGCGTAAAGGTTTTAGTGGTGGTGGGTATGCGAGATCCGTTTGCAGCTGAATATAACTTTTCTATTTCTTTTTTCTTTTTCTTCATTTTTGTTTCTTTACATTTCTTTATATACTTTTTAAAAACTAATAATAATACTTTGCATAAGATTTACTTCGAAAAGTCTATTGAATTCGACTGTTACTTTATTTTAGTTAAATTTCGTTTATAACTATACCGTATCAGAAGCTTTAGATACTAAACCGTATCAGAAGTTATGGATTTCACAAACATTAAGTAGACTGTTGACGGAAATGCGCTGTATCTGAAATTCTGTTGAGTACATTATCAAGGATATCTTTTAGCGTTTGACGACAAAGCGTTCACGAACTTTAAACAAGTATGGGATCCGGTAAGATCAATCGCATTCGATTGTATATAGAGACAAGACTGATTAACGCATATATATTTTATTATTTATTGCACTATTATTTCCAAAAGTCGATTAAGGATATCAATCCTTCATGAATATTGTGACCACTACGAGTCGTTTCTAATGCGATTTTGTGACCTTCACAACTTTATTATTGACTAGGCTGTAAACTTATAAGATTTCTGCTGTGTGTACTTTGTGTTTCGAGTGAGTACATATTAGTCTCTTGATTTCTGTAATCTACCACGGAACAATAGACGAGATTTTCTTTCAAAGAAATCTAATTGACGTCCTGTTCATCGCATGTAAAGGATATTTTTTGGTGGTCCGCAGAGGATATTTGTAAGCTTATCGTAAGTAATAATTGCGGCTGTGGGTTACACAGCGAAAAAATAAGGTTAGAGTTTGGGAAATGTAGTATATTTACGGGATTATTGCATAATTTTGTTTCAAATTTAATTTCATCCGATACACCAGTCTGGACGGTCGGATTGGGTGTAAAAAAAAAAAATTAATATTTTACTCGCGGGCATCATCTAACTTAAAATTTGTGACCACAACAAAAAAACAAGTAAGAACATTATCATCGGGCAAGGCCGACCATTACATACCTTACACCACATTGTCTTAGATGATTTTTATTTTTATTATAGAACATATAATTTTTGTGTTCTATATATAGGAATATATTTCATGTGCGTATTTATACGGAAGCAATAAACGCAATTTATGTAGTACAAATTTAATCCTTGCAAAGGCAGGACTTCGACTTTTCTGCTCTACAGAGGGTAAATTTTCGTGAAAATCCTTATTGGGATTCAAAAAGAAGGCCGAGGAGGTCCAAATCTAGAACAGTTGATTTTTTTATGTTAAATTACTATTATGGTATAATTTTTTTCATGACACTTTGGTTTCGTTATACGAAGGTATTCAAAAATTGCCAAAGTTTCCATACCAATTTAGAATTCCCATATACTGCTACTTACTCACTTTTGCTGACAAATTTTCAAATTGCAATTTTTTAATTAAGTTTTCATTATATGAGGAGTGGTCGAAAAAGTGAACATTCCCGAACCATTTTCAGTAGCGTCCGTCCTTGAGTCAAAACACGTCACTGTACTAAATTTCATCAAATGCGACCTATAGCTTGAATACAAATTTACATGCCTGGACATCAGAAAGATAGGCGGACATTTGGGCAGACAGGCTTAGATTAACTCAGATTATGATTTCGGGTCGATCGATATAAAAAGAGATGTGCTTATCTTAAGCCCTTCTGCGTATTATGTACGATCGCACTAACTGAATATACTGTTTATCATAGGTGGTGTAGGGTATAATTAGGATAAATACATATATATTAAAAAAAGATGTTACATTGATTTATCTACATTTACAGAAAATCCGGTAGGTCCCATATAATAAAATTCTCCTCTTCTCTGACGTGTTGGTTTTTTTTTTCTTCATAATGCCGCTTCTAAAAAAGAGTTTTTGTTGCACTTTTACCAATTTTTAATTCGCGGCAAATTTTTTTTCTTCTCCTCCAAAAAAAAAGCAAATTTTTTTTATTTATTGACAGTTTTTTTAAAAACTTCTGCAAACCCTTTTTTTCTTTTCTTTTTCTTTCGCCTTCGGTATACTTCGGCAACACTCTTCCTTCTTCGCCGATCCCAGAGAGTTCGTTTAAAAAAGAAAGACTTTTTCTTTTAATTCCATTATAGTACAGAAAATCAGTTGGTCATAAAGCAGATTACGAGCTTTTCCACGCTCAAACGCAAGATCAGAAAGCGTATCCTTAGTTCTATTGCTAACGCATTAATTTCTGGATCATGTCTGCCCAATATTTCTCAAATCTTATTAATTATGAATATATCCGCTAATGGATCACATTCGTTGTAACATAAGCTGCGATGTTCATTTTTATTCGCTAAGAAAAATGAGACGACATTAATACTTCAAGGAAGAATCTCCTTCTAATGGCCACTTACTGATGCCCTTTTTCCATCGCACAATTTGTAATACTTTTCACATATATCGCTATTTTTCTTCTACTTCTCCTACTGGTTTACAAGCAACACTGTGTAAACTTTCTGTGCATCCGAATCTTCTCTGAGCGAAATCTCTAATATCCACCTAGCGCATTAAAGATTATGAGACCATCCACATACTATTAATAAATGTGTAAAACTTGGATGGAATTGCATATGGAACAGAGTTTGCTTAGATATTGGTGAATCAATAATTGACATTTCTTTTGTGTTATTTTTCCTTAACATTAAACATTTTTTTTTTTTTTTTGTATTTTAAAACCTATAATTTGTTAAAAATTTTTTTAGCTGCGGCGATGCGCATCGACGTGCTTGTTAGTTTTGCTAAGTTTTTTTTTTATAAAATTGTTTAATAACCGTTGTTAATTTTGAAAATTTTGTTTTGTAATATTGAAATAATTCATTACAACACTTTCTTTGGAAAAATAAAAAAAGGAAATGTATTATTATTAAATGTTAAAATACTGGTAAGACTTCCTGGTGGTGACGGAGGGGCGAGGGGAAAGTAGTATGGTTAGGGCAT